TGTATGCACCTTCAGATCTAGAACCATGTAGCCCAATAGCTCATAAAACTTCTCTTGAGGGTTTAGCTTTGTTGAAAAAAGGGAGAAGATAACAGTTCTTCAGCTTCAGCCTTGGTACCTCAATTTGCAAAAGATAATAAAGCATTCTTCCTTTGATCAAGTTTTTACTAGTTGCACAATACCAGATGGGTATCTTTGTTCTCCAAGAAGCCCATCTCAGCTCCTGGTGCTTTAATGGGATAAATCCATTCTGATGTTGGCAGATGGCCAACCAGTTTGACACACATACAAGTCTGAATGAAAACACTGCAGAAGTTTTAATTGGCTGACATCCTCCAGTGGGAATTTCAGGCTGTCTCCTGACTTTTGATTATTCAAGTGTTAGTGACCAAGTCAGGAATTAATCACCTGTCCCTTTTCAGATTATTACTTACAAATTGAGAATTGACATTTTATGCTAACATATTCTCCAATAAACCATGCCAGTCATTTTTTTTTCTAGTGAGGCAAATATATCTTTCCAATTAAAGGATGACGTGTAGATGGGAACTATCATTCCACAGACCCAGAGATCTCGTGCTTTGACTCTGTCTCTGTTAGTCAAGGCCAAGTAACCTGCTAGAATGTTTGAATAGCATATAGTAGTGACCCTACTGTCTCTATTCACCACAGCAAATGTCAGTGAGACTCTGGAGCTTTGGATACAGGATATATATGAGTCAGTGGTAATCCAAGGTACTTTCATATCAAAGGGCAGAATTGAGAGTGTAAGAATGATCTAGAGAAAATGACACTGTGAATTTTCCCTACCATCCTCCCTTGCCTGAATTTTATATAAAGATGAGATTCAATTGACTGCAAGAAAAAGGAGAAGAGATACATGATACATGTGAATGGGTAGGATCACACTGTTTTATATACTTTCATAGATTAAAAAACCTTCACATTCATTAATATTTAACTTTGCTTTGTAATGAGGAATATTCATATGCCTCTCTCTTCTCTTAGTATTTTAAAACTAAGAAGACAGAGTGTGGCTGCCTTTGCATTATGGCCTGTCCATGGGCCAGCAGTATCTGGAGCTCTGTAGTGATGTTAGCGGGGAGGGGTGTACAAGAGCCTTGGTTCTGATAGAAGTCAGAGAGCATTGATCAGAGTTGGTGTGAGCCCCCTAGCACATGTTTGCAGCTTCCTCCATCAACTCTCTTTCCCACAGAGCTGGGAGCATTTTGAGCCACCAGACAAAATGTATTCATTCATACTTGCCAGACATACGGAGCAAGCTCTAAGATTCAAGGCAAGGGGTAGCACTTAAAGCGTTGTAAGAGGAAGTGAAAAAGAATTAATTCAGAAGCATAGGATGAGAGATGGGAGAGATAGCTTTTCCAAGGATTGGCCGATGAAACAGCTAAAACAGTGAATCTTCACGGAGAGACACAGCAGCAGAGAAATAATAAAAATAGAGAGGCCAGGATGGATATGCACACACACACACACACACACTCATAAAGACACACATACATACACACACATTCAGACACACAGACACACACACACACACTCAGACATACACACTCAGACACACAGACACACACAGATACACACACAACAGATACACATACAACAGATACACAGATACACAGACACCAACAGATACACATACAGCAACAACAACAACAAACACACACACACACACACACACACACACACACACACACACTCTCATTCTAGGCAACGTATCTAGGGTTGATACATTGACTTGACCTCTTAATATCTTTTGTTTTTCTGCTGCCTTTTAAAACAGAGACATATGACTTGTACTTACTTTACTGGAACATTTTAAAATATTACTTACTTAAAAAATAAAGACCTTGCAAACTGGCAAAGCTTCTCAGAGTCAGCAATCGTAAGTCTTACCTATAAGGCACTCACTAATACTTAGTATGCATATCAGTGGGAGGGAGAAGCATGTCCACAGTGAGTCTGGTCACTTTTATGTCACATAAGCAGCCACCAGCTGCCAGAATAACTGCTTTAAAAAAATTATTTTAAGCTCTTTCTATCTAATCCCAGCTATTATTTTTAATGAAGTAAGTGTAGGTTGGGGAAGACCAGATCAATAAAGAAAAAGATTTCTTTTATGTTTTTATATGCAACATATCTTTTTTATAAGCAGTTTATTTGAGGATAAAACGATACGTAGACATCTAAGAAATGTAAATCTTGCACAAATGAATAAACAATGGCATATGATTGCTCTGGCTAGGAATATCAGTCATATGTAATAGAAAAAGGAATCCCATTGTTTGGAAATAGGTTCTCCTGTAATCTTAAAGATTTATTACGAAGTACTTATTCATAGGGAGAAACTGTTAGAATTCATCATTAAAACCCTATTTTGGTGAATTTTGTCATTGGCAAACTTTTGTTCTGCTAAGCACAGATGCTGTATTGAAAAATAAATGTGACCAAACATATAAATAGCAGGAAATTCTGTAATGCAAGTAATAACAAAAGTATCACCAGATATTAGTCTCCCCTAAGTAATAACCTAACAATCTTGATTCTAAAAGCACGGAGGCAGCAGATCTCAACATTCCTAATGTGGTGAACCTTATACAAGTTCCTCGTGTTGTGGTGAACCCCTAAAATTATTTTGTGTCGACTTCATAATTTGTGGTTTTGTTACTCTTATGAATCATAGTATAAATATCAGATATACAGCATATCTGATATGAGACCCCCATGAAAGAGTCGTTGTACCCCAAAGGGGTCATGCTGAGAGCCATTGCTCTAAGGCCATGATTCTTTTCAAACAAACCAGGTACTCTCTAATTCTAATTTGAAGGGACTCCTCGTTCTTGGAAGTAACATGCAGTTTCTAAGCCTCCTCTTCAGACTTTGAGTGAAGGAGAAGGAAGTTGCTGTTTGTGTTACTTAGAAATTGTGGGAAATCTCCACTGGAGTGTAGAAAACCATAATTTGTAATTGATTATGAGTCTTTAAATGAAAACAGTCCAGTGAACCATTTTATATGGAACACTTCCCATGAGTTCTCAGTGAAAGCTGGTAGCAGAATTTGTCCTTAAGAGTGAGTCTGTTTTCAATTATTGTCTCTTGCTATGTCGACATCTTTGCTAATGGTCACTTAATCCATGCTGATAATCCTGGGACTGATGAGATGGTACAGTGAGAAAAGATGCTTGCCACCAAGGCTGGCAACCTTGTTCAATTCCTAGAATAGTTTTGTCCTCTGATCTCCACATGGGCACAGTGGTGTGGATGCACACAGTACTATATCTATCCACCCACCCTCACATACAAAAATTCATTTTTGCTAATAATCCTGGTAGCGGGTCACTGATAGCTTCAATCTCACATTCTGACACATACTCATGTATGCATTCTGAAACACAAACATTTACCAGTACTGGACTCTTTAATTGAGGGTCCAGCAGAGGCCAGATAAGTTTGGTAAGTGATAGAGTTCTTTGCAGATTGGTACTAAGTGTTCTAAAAGCAGGATGGGTGGATCTTAGAATTTTGAAAGACTTTAGCACAGGGGCATTGAAATGAGAAACATATACATGTCCAGAACTCTTCATTTTGAAACATTAGGGATTTATTTCTCTTTATTATTTTTCCCTCCTTAGCCCTTCTCTCTTTCTTCTTCCTTTTCCCCCTTCCTCCATCTCTCTCTTCCTTCTTCTCTTCCTCTCTCTCTTTTCCTCTCATCTGCCTCCAACCCTCTCTCCCTCCTTCTTTCCCTCCCTCTCTCCCTCCTCTTTTTCTCCTCTTTCTCTCCCTCTCTCCCCCATCTGCCTCCCTTCTTCTCTCCCTCCCATTTTGCTCTACTCTCTCCTTCCCTCTCTCCTTCCTTATTCTCCTTCCTTCAGTTCAATTTTCTGATTTGCAAGATAAAATCAGACCTGAAAAGCAGCTGGTGCTGCATTTGGAAGCATACCACATTCTGAGTTCTCCCTACATACTTACCATGTAATTTTCACAAAATTCTTGTAAATTTGGGTTTATTAGTCTGTTTTTATAGATGAGTCATGGGTCCAAAAGGGGTAGAGAGCTGAGGGCTGAGTTTCACCTGAGCCACATTTCACCCAAAGCCTCAACACTGTGGCTCTGAACCCTTGCAGACTGTTATGCCCCATTTACTAGGATATTTGTGTTCTAGCCAAGTTTGTCACAAAGCACATTTTTTTTCTGAAGGAAAGTCCCCTTTGATGAGGGTTTCACTTATACTGTTTGGGTTCTGCTTATCAGTATTCAAGTTTTATAGGGATTGTGGTTGCATCTATTATTTTCACTGCAGACATGGTACCTGGATTGCTAAGTAAATATTGAACACATGGCTGTAGGAAACATCAACTGTAGACATAACAGGGGCATAGTTGTGGTAGTTTGAATATGCTTGGCCCAGAGAGTTGCACAATTGGGAGGTATGGCCTTGTTTAGAGTAGGTGTGGCCTTGTTGGAGAATGTGTGTCACTGTGGGGATGGGCTTTGAAGCACCACTCAGTTTGGAAGAGACAGTCTGTTCCTGGCTTCCTTTGGATAAAGATGTAGAACTCTCAGCTCCTCCAGGACCATGCCTGCCTGCATGGTGCCATGCTTTCTGCTATGATGATAATGGACTGAAGCTCTGGAACTATATAAGTCAGCTCTAATTAAATGTCCTTTATAAGAGTTGCCTAGGTCATGGTGTCTCTTCCTAGCAATGGAAACCCTAAGACAATAATTAAAAGTGAAAAGTATTTGAAGAGTAAGATCATGAGAAGATTAATTCATTGAATATTTGAATTATTTAACATTTATGTGAATTATGTAATATAAATTAGGTAATATTTCAAAGAACATTTTTGTGTGTATATAGGTTTGTGTGTATGTGTGTGCGATGCATTCATGTGCATATGTCTATATGTGCAGAGGCCATACGACAATATCGGGGCTCTTCCTTAATCACTTTTCCATCTAATTTTTAGGAATAGTGTCTCTCACTGAACTTGGAGCTCACTGATTGGGTAGACTTGCTGGTTAGAGAGCTGAGGAATCCTCTCTACCCCTTCCCACACTGGGATTACAGGTACATGTTAAGTCTCTGGCTTTTAACGTGGATGCAAAGACAGGATCTGAATTCAAGTCTTTTTTTTTTTAACTTTTTATTGGTTCTTTATCAATTTTGCATCATGTACCCCAGTATAACTCATATCCCTTTCTCCTATCGTCTACCCTCCACCCTTGCAAACTCCTCCCAACAGTGAAAAAAAAAAAGATCTCATCATGGAAGCTGTAGAGTGTCATGGTTTTTCCCTTTATTCACACGTCTTTGCTTGCAAATGTTTATGCCAATGACTTCTTGGTCTGGTATGAGGCCTCTGGCTTCTGCTATTCTATCGATAGTGAACCTCACTGGGATTCTCTCAGATATCTTGTTGCCCTGTGTCATGGAAATCCTGTAGTTTTGGATGTACTCCAGCAGTTCATCAATGGGTAGATAGGCCAATTCAAAGCCCCAAGAGTTATTTGCTCTGGTCAGTTCATTGGCTCTCCTGTTCTTATGCCCTCAAACTGGCTCACTAGTAACCCCACCCCAGTCCCTCAACCAGTGCCAGCTCTATTCTGCTGCCCAGAGGAAGTGCAGGGCCTACTCTCTTGAGTATTGCAGCTAGTGATAGAAATGATCATGAACTCAAGTCTTTATGCTTATGTGGTAAACACTTTGACTGGAGCAACTGTGAAGTCCTCAAAATAATACAATTCTATATAATGTTACAAATTATTTATAAAGTATTTGAAGAATTAAGTATATATCATGGACATGATACACACTACTTTAAAAAGAACATGCCTTAAATGTTAAATTATTTCATCAAGTTTTTATAATTTCATCTTAATATGTATAACTTAAAATTCAGAATAACTTTCTTTATTTTTAGCTACTATTGAAGCTTCCTGAATTCTTTTTACTCTGCTTATTTTCTATCCTCCTTCACCCTGCTTTGATAATCAGTGATTATGTCTCTTTACAGGTGTATCTGTAGCTTTTTAGTGTCTGTAAATTCAGGGTCACTGAGTATCCATTATTTGATCTTTAGATTAAACATGTAGGAACTCAGGAAGTACTAGTAGAAAGAAAAGAAAGAAAAGAAGAAGGGAGAGGGAAGAGAAATGAAGAGAAATGGGACAGAGGGGAGGAAAAAAAGAGTGTTAATAGCAGATTCTCATATTTGAAGAACGTCAAAGATCAACAATGTTGTCCATTTACTTAGACATTAGTGGCACTTACCTCCCGAGGTTTTTGAGTATTGAGAATTACATGTCCTCCAACAAGAAATGTCCCCACACAGATACCCCCTTTACTTATGTTCTTATTCATCCTTCAAGTAGAACGTACTGAGCACAGAGAAGTGCAAGTAGAACACAGGTCCTGGGACTCTCAGTTCCAAGGTTCACACTAGATATTCTTTCTATTCCCCATAGTCAACCGGGAAGCCAGTTTTTATTAAACACCTCAGAGAATGAGTTATATAAAGCTCTTGAGTGAGAATAATCTTTGGGGTTATACTTCTGTTTCCCCGAAGAAAGGAGACATTTATGATGCCTTGCCAATCATCAGCTTGTTAAAATACTTAACACAAATATACCTTCTAATGAAAAACCAAGTGACTGAGTGGAGAATTCACGCAGAGCCCTTTGCAAGTATCAGTTACACAAATGATTTTTCTTGTTATTCTCTTGAGTGGAACAAACAAAAGTTATTATAATTCCTCCCTCTCAGAATCCAAGAACCACCAATATTGTATATCATTTATTTTCTCAGGGAATATTTTTGGAAATAACTTCTGCCATTGTGGGACAGAGAAAGGAAGACATGTAAGATTTTGACACTTTTGTGAGGGTGGTCGTGGTTTTGACTATTCCTGTCAAAAGGTCCATGGAGCTTATTTATTTATTTATTTTTGAATGAAATAGAAATCTGTCGTGTTTCCTGTGCCTCTTTATATTCAGTCAACTAGCTGAGTCACGTACAGATTCCTTAGCAAGTGTGTGGTGTTTCCAGAACTCATCTACGTTTAGTCCATTCAGCTAGGGGTCAACTGGTGTTGAATGAACCTTGGAGTATAGGCAGGGAAAAACCCTGGCTTGGGAATCAAAAGCATCATGGTTGCGATCTAGCTCACTAATGAGCAACTGCAAAAACCTTTAATTCCCATGAACTTCAGTTTTCTACAAAATTGACTTCCTACTTCTCTCTTACGGAGTTAACATGTGCTTTAAGACCAAAAGCTAGATATGGAGAGAACATAGTTCGTGTTTTTGCTATGCACTAGGAACACAGCAAATGGCTCTGTTTCCTGGATTCCCCATATATTAAGGAAGGAAACAGGCGAAAGACAGAGGTCAGAGAGACTGAGAACCAGGGATTTAAATCATTGAAGGCTACCAGCAACCCTGCCTTGACTCCCGAGCATGTGCTGCACTTTAACAGCAGAGTTCAAAGCAATTATTCGCTAACGAGGTTCACCATTAAAATCCTTTGGAAGTGGGCCTGGACTTCAAGTTCACATTCTGCGCTAAGATGAGCCTGAAATTCAGATTCTGACTCAGAATTTTGCAATAGAGTCCAGAAGTGCATGTTTTTTTTTTTTTTGTGATATGGAGGCTCTTAACATAGGTTACATGACAAGAGGAGACTATCCATTTCCCAAAGAGCATGCTTGTGCAATAAATACATTGGGTTGAGCGAAGCAGAAGCACATGCTTATTTTGGTTAGGGAGAAGATGGCTGTTCCCTGAGAGGATAGAAGGGTGCTAAGGTTCATCCCAGAAGCTAGTGATTGCTAGTGTATTGTTGAAGAGGGTGATTTGGATGCCAAAAGTAAGATTCCCTAGCCACATTGCTTAGAGAAGCCCTGAGTACTATACAACGACAGTGTGTCATGGTAGTCCAGGTGGTGGAGATTGTGAGCAGGAGGATTGCCAGTTTGAACATCCCTTTTCCTTCTTGTTGAACCTTATTTTTTGGATGCAACAATAAGAGTTAGGTCAGGGTGGTGGTGGCATACACCTTTAATCTCAGCACTCCAGGAGGCAGAGGCAGACCAATCTCTGTGAGTTCAAGGTCAGCCTGGTCTACAGAGTGAATTCTAGGATAGCCAGGGCTATATGGAGAAGCTCTGTCTCAGACCAAAAAAAAAAAAAAAAAAAAAAAAGACATAGAAAAAGAGAAGAGTTATGCCATTAGGTGGCTAAGTGAGAAAGACTCCTCTTCCATTGAGGATAATAGAAGGCCTAGAGGGAATGCTGTAGGCTCTTTTGCTCTGTAACCTTTCTGCTTGCATAGCATTCTTCTCCAGAATAGAAAATGCTCAAAAATCACAGCTCAGAGAAGTAGAGAGGAGCAGCCCAAACCAGACACTGTATTAATATATGCCTAGACCTTGGGGGATGGGTTGGGGTGAACTATTTAAAATAATTTACATTGGCCATAAATAACCTGGGGGGGTATTTGGTTAAGGCAGCACAAATAAACAGAGGGATGGACTCAGGATAGACCAATGAAATGTTAGAGCATTGTGAGAGCAAGGACTCAGGTGACAGGGGACATTATCATTTTAGTTAAAATTACTGGTGGAGATCTCCAAGCTCCTTGACTTTGTGCTCTGGAGGAATGAGGAGTAAGAGGTGAAGAACCTCATTTTTCTCTGGGTTTAGGCCTCTCATCTACTGAAAGGTTGCTTTATTTGATAGCCTCAGTCCGTGGCTCCTTTTCTCTGGAACCCTGCTGAGGTCAAACAGAGAGATCCCATACCTTACTGGATGATTCTGTTTTCCCCAGAGAGAATCCCATCATCAACTGTGCTCAGTGGAATGGATGGATGCACCTAACTATTGGATGAAATAAAGTCCTACCATCAAAAGAGGCTGAGAGACAGTTGAGACACCCAGTAAGGAAGAGGAGACTTCCTCACAGCGATTTTCCCCCATCTCTGGATGCTAAACAAGCTGTGACATATTGTGAGTCTCCAGGAGACAGTTTGAAGTTTTCTCTGCCAAAATTTCTGACCACAGTCCTTGCATTAACTGTTGTCTGGTTGTCTGTCTGTCTGTCTGTCTGTCTGTCTGTCTGTCTGTCTGTCTGTCTGTCTCTTACACACACACACACACACACACACACACACACGGATATATATGCACAATTCTAGGGTCATACCAAGGGCCTCAGATACACAGATACATAAGGCATATACTTTATCACTGATCTATCTTTCCGGTCCCTCTTTTGCTTTGAAGTGATAGGAGAATCCAACTGAGACAGGCATAAAGGGAACTTTCTGGCTCCCATAGCCATAAAGCCCAGGCTTTGTTGAGTCCAGAGGTCTCCAGTGATGTCACCACTGTTTGTCTCTTTCCATCTTTTGGCTCAGCTTTCCTCTGGGCTGGCTTGGTTTTCACAGTCTTTCTCCATGTGGTGGTCCTTGGCAGCTCACGGTTTGCATCATACCCACAGCTATAAATTTCGCTGTGGAAAAAGCTTCACCAGAGAACTGAGCTTATCTTAAGTGAATCATGTTTGAATTTAGAAGTGTTTAAAATCCTAAATAATTAAGTTAAGATGATAGAAATACAAAACATAAGTCCCAAATACCCTGTGTTTTGTGAGAAAGCCTTCTTAATCACAGCCTATGGTACTGGTGCAAGTTTAAGGCAGAATGCAATTGCTGAGTGGAAGCTATTCTTCAGAAAGACTAAAGCACATGGGAATTTAACTGCTTCTCAATTCTTGATGGTTTTCTCATCCCAATCTCCTGCTTTATAATGTACCACGTTTTCTTATTGCTTCCGAAGTCTACAAGTTAATGAGATAATGCATCAACATACTGGAGTGAGCATCCAACTGACTCGTACTTTTAATTAATATACTACTTAAATGAACTCTGGTATGGGTGCATATATTGTATATCTGTTTGTGTATGTGCGGGTATGAATGCATATATGTTCATGAGTCTATGTGGAACCCAGAGGTCAAGATCAGGTGTCTTCCTCAATGACTACCTGTTTATTTTTGAGACAAGAGTTTTTCGGTGAACCTGGAACATGACAATTTAGCTAGACTGGCCAGCACCCCTCAGCGATCCTCCTGTCACTGCCTCTTTAGCACCGTGGTTACAGGCACAGGCTGCTCTGCTTGGCCGTTATGTGGCTTCTGGAGATCCAAACTGAAATCTTCCTGATTGCTTTAGATACACTTTATCACTAAGCCATCTCCTAGCTTAAAAATTTCTGCCCATTACTTCTATTCATAAGTCTATTTTTAAGTAATTATTTTGTTTAAAAAAAACTGTAGAGACTACATCTACTTGATTTTTTTTCTTTTTAAATTAGTTTTCAACTTTTAGATCTATGGCTAGATGCTGAACGCATTTGACAGTGAATCAAGGATTCTTTATCAGTGTTCCAAATTGCTTCTAAATCATCCGCATCACCAAAATGGCAAGCGCCGCTGAGCAGCCAATACGGAAGGGCCTTGTGTAATTGGTCAGCTAGTAATCGTTTCCACATTCAAGCTGGGAACAGCAATGACTTTATTTTTATAGATAGGATATTTTGAAGCAGGGGTTCCTTTTTCTAACCTAAGGAAGTGATTAAGGTAAGTTAGAGACTTACTTCCTTGAAGAAGGCTCATGCCTCTTCCCACCTATTTGTTCCATCGTCATGGCCAACTAGGAAGAAAACCGCATGACGGTCATTAGAGATTTTTTTTTTTCTGGGACAGTACTTGGTATTCATCAACAATACCTTGAGAAATTTCACGAGACTTTAACACAGCCGTTCTTAATCTGTAGATTGAGTCCCCTTTGGCAAACCTCTGTTTCCTAAAATATTCACATTAGGATTCATAACAGTAGTAAAACTACAGTTATCAAGTAGCAATGAAAATGATTTTATGATCAGGGCTCACCACAACATGAGGAACCGTAGTGAAGGGTTGCTGTGTTAGGAAGGTTGAGAACCACTGCTTTAACAGTTTTTGAATCAGTAAAGGAAGATCCTAAGATGTGGAACTGTAAACAATTGGGTACTACTGCCTTCATTGCTTGAAACTACTTATTATACACATGGAATGCCTAAGTGTACATTCTTTGAATTATTTGATCAAACAGAATACTCTGCAAGGTGATGGTCTTTATAAAAGTGATTTATTTGACACAAACCTTTCTTTCCCATTACAAGACCCGTCTGTGCAGCAGCTAGCATTAATTGCCAACAGCTCTGCCCAGGTGAGGCAGTTCAGTCTTCATGATAGCAACGTGAAGGAAGTAGCCATGTTTTTTTTATAGTCAGTTTGACAGAGAGAGAAATTTGAGAAGTAAGGAGGTCAACGGACTAATGGTTCCTAGCTAATGAATGGCAGAACTGGCTAGGCAATCTAGCACAGAGGAGAGCAAATGATATTAGACACTGTGTGAACTTCACTATCAATTACACCAACTGGCAATACTGCCTGAAGCACAACAATCAATGGAACTTTCAAAATGGCCTCCATCGTGCTAGAGCCTACAAGTGCATGCACATGCATGCTAGATCACGATTGTCTCATGGTTCTGCACATTTTTAGCAATTGCATGGCTGTTGTTCTTCTGGCTTGGGTTACAAAGACGTTTAACAAAGCTCCCATAAATAAGAGACCGAGTAAATAAAACATCTCATATTTGTACTGTTACACTAATAAGCTTAATAACAATAATCCAAAAAAACATCTGCAATCATAAAATCAAAACTTCATTACCATTTCAATGCAGTTACTGCAAATCCTCAGGTTAGCCAGTACGCCAGCTGTGTCCTGGTGCTTCACAACACAAAACAGCAATTCATTCCAAATTACCACTCTCTGTTAGTGACTCTTGCTCTTTGGCTCCCTTCCCACACACTCCTGCTGTTCGGGTCTATTGTTTCTCCTCTCTAGGAGCTTTTTGCTTCCTGGGAAAGCTTGAAAGATTGTCTTGTGAAAAATCAGGCTAATCTAGCTTTCGGTATTCCCATGTCCTCCAGCAATTGGACACTCTCAACTTTCCCTTTGGCCATTGGCATTTCACAAACAAATTCTGCAAGGTGTTTAGGAGACCTCTGCCGAAGAGGGCAGTTAGAACTCACAAAACTTGCGTTGTTTCCTGGCTTTGTGAAGTGAACTAGTCCAAGATACAGATAATGAACTTCCTTCTCTCTGTAGGGGCTGTGAATTTGAGAACCCCCCCCCCACCTCCGTTCTTCCTGCCATGGGCCTCTAAATCATCAAATTCCATATCAAATTACACAGAGCTTCCCTCTGAGAGTTTACGGGCTTGGAACAGCAGGTTGAAATCCAGATTGGGGGAAAAAATGAAGGTTGTTCTTTGAGTCAAATGTTACACATATACTGGCTCATAGAAACTTTATACCACTTAAGAGTTCTACTTAATAGGCAGTTTATTTTTATGCTGCAAAATACTTATCTATTCTCTTTCATCTGGAGCTTAAACTTTGCAACCCTTGAGTACAAACGAAGGGTTGAAATGAGAGTATATTTGATCTTAGTTTTACTGGCATGTAAGATTTCAGGAAAGCATTGTCCTTCGAAGTAACTCTTTCAGTGCAGAACATAAGCCAAGAAATTTAGTTCTTCTGAGAATATGGAGCCCCCAAATTCTTACAATAGGCCATTTAATTTGTGTGTGTGTGTGTGTGTGTGTGTTAACACTTTCTATAAGTAAGTACACTGTCTCTGTCTTCAGGCACACCAGGACAGGGCATCAGATCCCATTAGAGATAGATGGTTGTGAGCCACCATATGGTTGCTAGGAACTTAACTCAGGACCTCTGGAAGAATAGTCAGTGTTGTTAACCACTGAGCCATCTCTCAGCCCCAACACTTTCTATTATGCTGTCATTGTGTATGTTATTGTGTACAGATGACTATACACTATTTTTCAGGTATCCTGGGCATTTCTTGTAAAGCATCCTGTCAGATCTGTATCTTGGAGACTTTATGGAGCAGGAAGGCATCTTCTTGGAGCTGGGGGCTCACTTTGATGAAGAACATCCCCTTGAAATCCAGACTAGACCAGAGGCTAACCCTAACGGCACATACTACAAGTACCTTAACTCTTTGGGGATATATCTCTTTGACATACCGAGCATCTTTCCTAAGCAGTCTGTTACACAGAGTTACTACACCAAAATCAAATGGTAAGAAGGTAGAAGACTCTGTTTGGTCCTGTTATATGTATAGAGATAGCTGCTGTAGAAAAGTGGTAATAAACATAACAGTTGACTAATTTTCATAGGTTGAGCTCATTAAACTTAATATCAAGGGCTAATTTAAATATTGGACTTTTTTAAAAATCAAGAAGTATAGACACCTTGACTGACTATAAAAGTTAAAAGGTGAGGATAAAATATTGTGTTGTGGAGTTTCTTTCTTCACCAATAGCTCCACGTAATCCTCTCTTTTTCAGATGGTAAATGGTGTGACCTGGGTTCAAGCTAGGAAGACACAATGACACCTGTTGATGTAGTTTATCCACAGATCCACATATCGTTGGTTATAGAAATCTAATCTCTAAAAATAGACTGTGAATGAATGCAGGCATTCTTTAGCAACAGAGTCAGCTCAATGTGCTTGGTTGGCTAACTTGTAGCATCTGAAATGATGATTTTTATGAGGTCCCTCTGAGAAAGCCATGGTCCTTTTGGCGACATCTTTATCAATCCTATTAGCTATTAGATGATATTTTCATGATGTGTGAGAACTCCAAGAAATAAGATTCAAGCTAAAAGGCTGGAAGGATTTATTTTGAATTTACTTTATGTACCCTTGCATTGTTATCTGCAAAATATCACCTTTAAGATATCACTGTAAATCTGTCAATTTTTCCCATGGATTTTTGCTAACTGACTAGATTCAACATATGCCACTCATAAAAAATGGAATGGTAGATCTTATGATTCTGAACACCAGCTGTTCATGCTGTTCATCGTATGAGACATGGATTCTGGGAGGAAGGAAAATTTGAATAGAGAATGAACCACAGATTTCATGACTCTGTCATTTTACAGGGCCTGATGTTCACCATTTGTACATATAAGATAGAAATGATAGTTAGTTACAGTACTATCTACCTCATGAATGTCTGTTCTTTGCTAATAAGAGGCAGAAAAGGAGTGGATACAGAGGGAAGGGATCGTGGGGAGGATCTGGGAGAAGTGGAGGAGAGGAAATTATAATCAAGATATGTAGTATGAGAAAAGAATGTATTTTCAATAAAAGGGAAAATAGTAATAAAAATATTTTATGACAATAAAAATAAATATATGATACAATACATTATATGTATAAAATAAATACAAAGATAATAATGCAAACTTTTAAATTACTTTTTACTATTATTATTGGAATAGTAATAATTCAAGTAATAGCCTCTTATTTGAAACAAGCCTTCTATGAAAAGCCCTCACGGTATAATGTACACCCATACACAAAAGTTCATTTTTGTTTAGAAAATAATTGTATACTAGATATATATTAAACCTCTGTAGAGACTTGGCTTTATTTTATACAATGTATACTGAATTGACCAAATAGAATCTATATTACCTATATTACCTATCCATATTAATTTGAAGGGCTGAATACTGTTAGATATAAAAGTAAAGGGAGATGATTGATTCTTTTTGAAGAAAGCCTTCACTAAAAAAGTAAATAATATTATGCCCTATAAAAGAGAAGATCAGATTCATACTTCTTAGTTTTCAGAATTACATCTGACAAGTCTTTCTATAGCTTTCTATATATTTCTTTGTTGACTTTTCTCTCTCCACATATTTGTGTTCTTAAAATTGAATCCAGCGCCTTGCACATGTCAGACAAATACTTTATCACAGAGCTATAGTATAAGCTTTCCACACAGCCTTTTTTTCCTAAAAACAATTTTAAGATTATAATTTAAATATAACATTTTTCTCTTCCTTAATACATACGTACTCTGAAATAAAACCAGGTCAGTCCATATAATGCCATCTCCGTGTGTATGTTTAGGGTTGACCAGTTGTCCCGAGACAACCAGAAGGTGTGTTCTTCCCTAGTGAAGTGTAGCTAATCCCGTCTCATTTTCCCTCAGTTGCCTATTATTCTTCATAAAGGGGTTGAGGTTGTGTGGGCTTTTCACCGTCCAGCTTGACATGTTCATTGGTGTGCTCCTTGTTGAGTTCACAACTGGGCAATTAAGTTGGCGAGAATTTATGGGTGTAGCTTCTGATATTGCTAGGAGACACAGTCTAACAGCAAACTCCCTGAGCCTCTGATACTTACCATCTTCCTGCCCCCTTTTCTGGAAATGTTTCCTGTCTCTTAGGAATGGGAGTGTTTTGTGGTTGTATCCACTGGGACTGGGCTCCACAACTCTGTATTTTGATGGGTTGTGGTTTTCTGTACTGGCCTCTGTGGCAAAGAAAATTTCCTTGAAGAGGGGTGAATACACTTATCTGTGGTATGAGGACAATTGTTTATAAATTATTATTAGGGACTGTACTGGTTCAGCAAATTAGTGCTTGCAGAGTCTCCAATAACTATGACTAACTAACTAACTAATCAATAACTAAGATTTTTTTTTTGATAAAGTTCCAGACTGGCTTCCAAATTAAAATCCTCCTGCCTCACTTTCTTCAGTCCTGAGATTATAGGCATATACCACCATGCTTGGTACTTCACATCCAGTCTTGATTTATACCCTTAAAATAGGCAGTAGATATTTTTTTCTGAACACTTTTCCCTGTGACTTCTGGATGAGCAGATTTCTTTAGAGTAATCTCATTGTCCAAAGGCCAGTTATGTCACAGAACCATCAAAATGCCTTTGGTAACTAGTGATGATTTATCCTCATTCAAAAGTCTTTCTCAACTTTCCTGCAGCAGAGAGAAAGACTACATTAACAATCATTATAAAAATCATGGGAACATGCAAAAATGCCAAAAACAATTTGGAAATTGGGGGTGAGGGTGGAATTGGAAATGGGGTCCATAAGAAGGAGAAAGCACAATGAGAAACAGTATGATTAAATGTAGTTTATTGAAACATTTCAACAAAATGAGTCTCATCGTTCATGTCATTGGGGGAAATTGCCATTTTTGTTCTGGATAGAATTCCTATTTTCGGAAACTGAAAATTTGCTAAAATAGTACATTCATCCAAAATTAGCTTGTAAAATGCTTGCAATAAGCAGCATCTCCAGATCGTGGTCAAAATGGCATTTTGTGTGGATATTCGGTGACAAGATGTCTAACATAGGTTCAAGTACAATTATGAAAAGGTCTTCCGTTTATCCAGCATTTTGTTTCCATCTTTTGCAAATTTAATATCATAGTGAGCTGTTATGAGCCAAAATATAATAGGTTTTTGTGTCTGGCAAGGACACCTAGCTTCTCTACTTGAGAACCAAGGACGGCTGCCCTAAAAAGTAATATGTGAGATTCTTTTCAGGAGCAAAACATTGTTGATGCTATGATCGATCACTAGCCTCACAACTTACCTCATGAAAGGAAATGAGAACTCAAAGACATGCCTGTGGCATTGAAATCATGTCTAGTAATGACTAAATGAAGCGATATGGGTTTAAGAGAAGAAAAAAGCAGAATAGAAACAATGGCAGAAAAGAATCTAGAAACAACAAGAACGACGATAAAAAACCCCAGCATGCAAAGCTTTCTATCTAGTACAGTGTGTGTGTGGCATGTAGTAAGTGTTCATTTTGTTTCCTGATTTTTTTTCCCCTTTGGGCTGGAATTTATGACATTCCCTTTTTTCTGTGGAGATTATAGCTATGCGATTCCACATCAAGTTGTTTTGATCAAATTGATATGTTGGTTGATTGACTGATCGGTGTGTGTGTGTGTGTCTAAGGACTCACGTCTTAGAGCTTGGGTTGTTAGAATCGACAGGAAGTGTACTGAGTCATCTCAAGTCCTGACTTGACCGGGGAGAGAAGGGAGAAATAAAGAGAAAGGAGAAGACATCTAAGAGAAGACCTGGGTTTTTTTTTGTGATCTCTATATTAAGGAGGGAACAATGTTTACCTGTATGGATTCTCACAGAGCCCTTGGTAAAGCACAGGACAGGCTTGCATCATGACCACATGCAATTTTAGTGCGTGGAGAAAGCAAAGCCTAACTTCTCCAATGGAAGTGGAATCTTTCATTGCTTTAAAAAAATCATTTTATTTATTAGTTTTGCAGTGCTAGGGTCCCAATACATGACTTTATACATGCTAAGCAAGTGCCCTGTTGCTGACTTTCACCCCAAACCCTGTTCTGTTAAACCACAGCTTATAGGTTTAGGATTTTGCAGCTTTATTCAGCACTAGATGAATGGGTGGGGGGGAAGAAAGAAAAAAAAAGAGATTAAGGAAAAGACATGACTGCTCCTAGGTACGGTGGAGGAGAAAGTTTACTGTAGATAAAAGGGAGACACAGCCAAAGGCAGACACAAACCAGAAGAGTCTAGAGTGGTCAAGACCCTAAACCTTGTTTGGTGAGGCAGAGGGGAAGAGAGAGAGGGAGCAACCAGTTGCTGCAGCCCGCAGGTCAAAGGTACTAAAAGGGGCAAGTAACTAAAATGTCTGGATTATATAGGGAAGAGCCTCCGGTGGAAGGACAGCCCAGCCCTTGGGCTGGAGAGGTAGGGGTATCTGCTGGAGTATGGCAGCCATACCTTGTAACAGGTAGGGACTGAGGGATACTGGGAGAAACTTGTCAGATTCTCTTGAATATGTTAAATAGGCACTTGAACCTCTTGTCATGGGTTTAAAACAACTGAAGTGTGAAACAAATGAATGGTGACTTTTTTTGGAGATCATCTTTAAGCTGAGTGCTTACTAGATAGAATCAGTGAGTAGAGTTCCCACGTACCTAACAATCATACCTAAGTGGTCTGCTGTGCCTTTTCATTTGACAGAATCTGTTGGAAAATTATTTGGGCTAGTTTTAACATTTATAGAGTTCACGGTAAATCCCAAACAGGGTTATAAACCACAAGAATTTCAAGCCTATACGACGACTCCTGATCTTTTAAATGACTCCAAGGAGTTACAGGCCTCCTTGAAGTCAGATCTGACTTGAGTCATTTGAAAACTTCTCACT